AGCCGTAATTGCCAAGAGAGCAGCACCCCTGAAGCAAAACCACTGGTTACCTGGAGCTAAGAAATTAGCAGTGATTGAGAGGAGACCAGCGTCTCTGAGGTGAAATCCTCTGAGCAGTGCTTGCTGAAAGCACAGAGAACCTGTTTTTGATAGGTGACCATGTTTTTTTTCCTGGTGCTGGAAGCCATGTTTGGTACTGTTCAAGAGTCACCCTGGCGGTACTGGTTTTGAAGGCATGAAGGGGTCACAGAGAGCATCTGAGGCTTGGCACTCTGAGAGGCAGGAGAGGACACTGGGGAAGGTGCAGCTTCAGTGGCAGAAGAGTCATGCAAAGAAGTTGAGGCTTGCACCATGAAGAGACTCTGTAGAGGCTGTTAGTGAAAGCAAAACCCAGTTGTGGCAGAAGACCCTAGCATTTTGGAGATGCCAGAACCATGGGATGACCAGCAAGAACAGCAGCAGCAGTGGAGTGGAGCCAGCCAGAGCCTAGAAGACAAGGTGTGTGCTGCAGAGGGTGGATCTGGAGACGTGACCCCAGCCCTGTGGAGGAGCCCAGAGAACAGGAGTGAATCCCAAACAATCGGACACTGACTTATTTATACTGCTGGAGTTTGGTTTTGCTTGATTCAGATTGTGACTGTACCCTGGTTCTTCCCTCTTGAGGATGGTACTTATTTTAATTTTTATCTTAACAGGAGCCCATAGTTGAAAGATTTTGAACTTTTCAAAGAGATTTTGGATTTTTAGAAAGATTGGATATCCCAAAGAGACTGCAACTTAATGTGTTTGAATTTATAAAAACTGTGGAACTTTCAAAGTTATTCATGTTTTTTGATGTGCAGTCTTGGGGATGAATAAGAAAGGAAGGGTTGTGGCTTAATAGTGATGTGTTTGTGTCTCAAGCTGACAAGGGGTCAGTTGTGCTGGTTGAGGCTTGCGCCAACTTGACACACAAACTAGAAAGGAGGGGAACTCAATGAAAGAGAGGTCTCCATAAGACCCAGCTGTAGGGCATTTCCTTAATCAGTGATTAATGAAAGAGGCCCATCCCATGGAGAGTAGTACCATCCCTGGGCTGTGGCCCTGGGTTCTATAAGAAAGCAGCTGAGCAAGCCATGGGAAGCAAGCCAGTAAGCCGAACCCCTCCATGGCCTCTGCATCCAGGCTCCTGCCTCCAGGCTCCTGCCCTGCTTGAGTTCCTGTTCTGCATTCTTTGGGTGATGAACAGTGATGTAGAAGAGTAAGCTGAATAAGTCCTTTCCTCCTTGCATATTGGTCATGATGAAACCCTAAGGTCATACTCAGAGAGAGGTGCTGGGCAGTCCTCTAGTGAAATAAGAAAAGGCATTTTCTACCAACATAAACAGAAGTTAGTTTTCTTTTTTTTTTTTTTTGTTAGTAAAATGGGGATTTTTTTTTCCTTTAATAAAAGCTGTGAAAAGTTTCCAGACAACCCTCAAAGAGCCAAAGCCCCGTGGTTCATGTTTACTGCATATTTGATTGGTGTTGGAGAGTTGCTAGTAAACCGTGATAAACTGCAGGTGGAACTGCTTTCTTCTCGGGCTCACAGAGGAGATACAAATGAGATTTACCACGATTTTAAGTGTGAGCTTGCATTCTGAGGCAGAGATCATCAAACAGGATTGGTGGTTTACTGAATTTCAGGTGAACTAATCATTCAGAAACCATCTTCAGGACGTGCTTTCAGCTTTTGATGTTGCTCACCAGTGGAAATACCAATTACACAGTCTTCAATTCCTTCCTCCCAGCGGGAGAGGTGCTTTCTATACGAAGAGCTGTTTGCATTTATAACTCATTTAAATCATCTCTTCCCAGATACTTAATGTTTAACACCCAGTGCTAAACTCAGACTCACTAGTTTAATGTAAAGATCATAAAATACTTGAAGAAAGCTTATGTATATTTCATTCAGCGGCTTATCTCCAAGACTCGAACAACTACTGATGAGTTCCCTGAATATTTAATGCACTGACTCCCTTTTCTTATGGCTCAGATTTTCCTGTGCGGTCCCTAAGTTTATGCACATTGATTCCAACAGGGTATGCTGAAGATATTTATTATTGTATATATCTCAAAGACTGTTGTTTACAATGTTGTTGTAGGAACTTGTTATGGACTCAAGGGAATTCAGTAGATGACAGTAAGTTAGGCCACAGTGAGGAAATGGAGAAGCCATACATAAATTAACTCATTCATCACGTAGTTTTAACACTGCAAGAAACAAGATCTTCCTAATAAAATCACGTTAGCTTTTTCTGTGAAAGTATAGCAGAGGGGATTAAGAGTGAGCAAAATGATGAATGAAAATAATTTCCTACCATGATCTCAATGACTTAAACTTTGTTTGAAGCAACTGTGCATGTTAAATATAGGCGAGTCTTAAATCTATGCATCCTGTCCTTGGCAGCACAACCTCGGGACTGCTTGATTATTTCGCACTTATGTGTACATTTCAGTTACTAAAATCTTATCACATTGCTGTTTTCTATCTGGAGCCGAATAGCTGTTTAAGAGTCACAGCTGGAGACAGATGATTACATCCTGCTTGTTATAGTGACTGGCATACAGCAAACGGAGGGGCAGAGGATTTTCACTGCAGTGTGCATGATTGACATTTGTGAGGAACAAGTAATGACAGGCCCTTCTCTCATCCAGGAATCAAGGAATAACCACCTATGACAGAGAAGCCATATCTCTAAGACTGTCTTCAGCAGGTATTAGTTATTAACGAGCAGTGATAGCAGGGAACGTGTTTTATCCGACAAAGGGTGAAATGTTGAAATCAACTTAAAAATTCATTGAGGTTTTTGTACCGTTCTGCTATAGATTCTAAGTAACTGTCTCTTTTATAGGCAACATAATTACAAGTGAATGACAAATGCAGACTTTATGACTCCAATTAAACTATCCATTAAAAACAAATTGAGCACACGAAAGCAGATATAAGGAAGAATAAACATGCCACAGCTTTAGAACTCTCAAAGTGAGATCAGCAATGTCAGATAATTTACACTGTGCTAACATTTTTACAAAGATGCCCAAAATATTTTTCTTAAATTTCATCAGAAAAAGTCCAAACTACCTAATTTTAAATACATTTATTCATATATTTATTTCTCTTCTTTACTTCATTCAACTCTAATATCTTTAAAACTTTATACGAAGTATGAAAGACTGGGAAGGAGCCTATGTTTGAGTCTTGATATTAGACTAGTTTTTTAAGAACATTAGAAACAAAATATGCTTCATTGGAAGTACTGAATTTTGCAAAACTCAAACTAAGCTACTAAGATAAATGTGAATCAAACAGACGCCAGCATCATGCCAGAACCGCTCAGGTGAACACAATTCAGGAGAACATCATACAAGACAGTGAAGTCCCCTTCCCGAAGCTGGAGGAGTTTCAGGGCTAGCGCTTCCTGGAAGCTTAAACATGTGCTGCTCACAGAAGGAAGGAGTGAGAAACAGGAATTGGGCAGGGCTGAAATAAGCACCAGCTCCCGAAGACATAGAGCAGAGACCTACGCAAGGCAAGTCTGTCTTCCAGGAAGAATGTTTTATGGTGCCGAGAAGGTGAAAAGCAGAGTATTAAATGATTCAGAGTAAATTCAGCTACAGAGGTGGAGTATTATATCAACAACATAAGTTAGCACCAGTGTTCAAATACTTTAAGAACATGTCATTTTCAGGAAATGACAGTATTGCTAACAGTCACGCTAACAAATGGCACAGAAAAAAAGTTCTCATCAGGAGATGTGCAAAGCCCCACCCAGGCAGCAGCTATTCGACAACTCCCCATGGAGAAACAGAGGTAAAGATATAAAAATGAGTCTCAGCATCTGCTTCGGTACCCTGCTGGGTAGAGTCTTTCAGAGGCATAACAGGGTATCCAAGCAGATGCTGAGACTCCTAGCCAAACTTTGGGCAGAGTGCAGGGAATCTTAATGAAAGAAGGGAGAGATAGAAAGACCTGAGGGGACAGGAGCTCCACAAGGAGAGCAACAGAACCAAAAAATCTGGGCCCAGGAGTCTTTTCTGAGACTGATACTCCAACCAAGGACCATGCATGGAGATAACCTAGAATCCCTGCACAGATGTAGCCCATGGCAGCTCAGTTACCAAGTGGGTTCCCTATTAAGGGGAACAGGAGCTGTCTCTGACATGAACTCAGTGGTTGGCTCTTTGATCACCACCCCCTGAGGGGGGAGCAGCCCTATCAGGCCACAGAGGAAGACAATGCAGCCAGTCCTGATGAGATCTGATAGGCTAGGGTCAGAGGAAAGGGGAGGAGGACCACCCCTATCAGTGGACTGAGGGAAGGCATGGGAGGAGAAGAGGGAGAGAAGGTAAGATTGGGAAGGGAAAAGGGAGGGGGCTACAGCTGGGATACAAAGTGAATAAATTGTAATAAATAAAAAAATAAAAAAGATATAAGAATGAATGCACAGAGAAGGTAGTGGTTAGGTAACAATATTTTTAAAATGAAGAGTTAAGCTTCTAAGACTAGTAAACCTTTTATAGTAGGTCTGAGACCAGAGACATACCACCATGTGTTATTTAGAATCAACTTAAAAAAATAAGGGCCCGAGTTGCAAAGCCACCAGCATCCTGGGACGAGCTTACTGACTGAAACCATCTTAGGTACCAAATGGTGTCAAATGTTGGTGAGCGGTAGAGGAAACAGAAGCCAGCTAGCATCCCCACCACTGAGCTTTCTCCCATGAAGTCTGCCTCGGGAGAGAGGCTGACTGTTAAACACTGGAGGAAATCTTAGTGTGAACTGAAAGACACAACATCTGAACCCATCCCACTCACTCAGGTCCTAGAGAGAAATGAACTTAAAATGCACGTTGAGGAGAATGACCGCCAGGGGATGAGATGTGCCTGTGATGGGCTAGAGAGGGCCCGCGTGGGCTCCTCCGGTATGAGCGGTACTGTTTTCACCACCGGCTCTGGGTGGCTGGTGGCCCATGTCTTACCGCCTCCACTTCGGCGGGGTCGTACCAAACGTTGATGTAAGGATGCTGCAAGGCGTCATCCACCGATATCCTCTTCGCCGGGTCAATCACTAACATCTTTGACAACAAATCCCTGGCTTGGCTGGCTGGAACGACAAATGAGAGCAGCGACTCCTAAGATGCGTATTTTGGCAAGGGAGTTTACTGCCTGGAGAACAGGCTAAGAAAAACCCCTGTCCTAACCACGGGGAAACCTCTTGAGGTGCTGTAAAAAGAAACACAGCTCTAACATTTTTTAGCCTAAGGTACCATTTCGAGAGCTCCTTGAGGGCTGTATGTTGTGAATATTTGAGTCTAGTCATTTGCTCAGAATTATAAACAGCATTTGTTAGCCATGAAGTTTGAACAAGTACAGGAACTTTCGGAGGTAATCTGTAAGGATGATGGCTGGACCCGGGGCATGGGACGTGCACAATCTGTGGCACGTCTGCAGACATGCCCAGGTCAACACAGGTGTGAGAAAGCAATCAGTGAGCTCTCACGTTCTCATACACAAAGCAGAATCAACAGAATCCCAGTAAGGTTCAGAATGACTTGCAAACCATTGTGGTCCAGGTTTCATAGCCGTGTAAAAACAAGCTGAAGAATGACATCAACTTGGTTGTAGCGTTCTGTGTTTGTGAGGGATTGAAGTGGGTAGAATCGCGATTTGGTGGCATCAGGTGGCTGGCGGCTAAAGGCACTCCCATCCCGTGGCTGACAGCAATGCAAGGCTCCACACAACGTGCGAAGCGATGTGCTCAAGTGTATGGTCAGGGCCGGGCTAGTTACACAACAGGTGGTGACAACCAGCAAGCCTATTTGGTCTTGGTCAATAGCACTGTTTACTGACAGCACATCAAGTTCTGTGTTCGAACCTGTTCACAAGCACGTGTGCGTGTGTGGTTCATTGTCTCACCAATGTGTGCAGGCGCACGTGTGTGTGTGTGTGTGTGTGTGTGTGTGTGTGTGTGTGTGTGTGAATACGTCGTTAGGCCAGTCTGGCTGCCTGCCTGCGGCCTGTCAGCGCTAGGATGACACACACACGCTCACCCCTCATCTTTGTTACACGGCTCCTGGGAATGGCTTCACCCCCTGAGTCGAAGAGCTAGCCCTGAAGTCACCTTAACCTTTAGTTCCTTGAGCATGTGATGTTTTACAAGGAGTGCTTCCTTGGCAGGAGTGAGTAATAGCTTAAACCAACGTCATTACTCAAATCATCTCAAAGTTTTAGCAGTAGAAATACTCAGTGTGTTCCAAATATACAGCAAAGCCTCTGCTTTGAGAGAGTAAGACTTCAGTTGGCTTGGCAATTTGAAATAGTTCTAATTAATGGCAGTGCTTCCAAGTAACTGACATCAGACATCATCGGGACCATATATGCTAATGTTCTTGATTGTAGGAAATTGGGGCCTGTCTAAATATTCACAAATTACAGGCCACAGTGTGTCTTATTCTCCCTTTAAAGACATCGTATGCATTCCATAATGGATTCACGTGTCCATTTGTAGTATGACCAAATCTTTATGGGGAAAAACACTTACACGGAGATGTATTTCCTCATTAAAGTATCTTTTAATACAGACATCAATCGTCATTGAATGTTTAGATTAAGGTAACTGAGCTAATGGAAACAATTTAGCAATAACATAAGAAAAAAATTGAAAAGTTAGGAAATCCCACCATTCTCATAAACCAGAGGCTGCCATTGTGTTTATTGGTGGCTTGTTTTCTCCCACTGTCCAGGTTTGGATATGATTCAACTCTCTGACCGTGAAACATTTTCACTTAATTAAAATGTAGGAAACTATTATCATCTATGAAGCATTGAATATTTTCATATGGTTTAGGATGTTTTATATTATTTATAAAAGATGATTCGTTAAAGGATTTTTTTATCTGTTGGCCATTTTTCTCTGATAAATACAATTTCTTAATTGATTAGCATTCTTTCCAAATAAAACTTTGAAGCCCACAAGAATGACAAAAGTGCACAAAGACTTACATATTATTTCAAATTGTAAGATGTTTTATGATCAATGGTCTAACAGCCTAATGTAGCTGCTTGTTTATTTCTTTTGTTAAAAGGTCGTTTTGATCTGCAGCTGATTTTACCCTCACATTCATGTACCACAAACTCTGCTCTCAAGACCATCTGTGTTTCTCTTCTTAGAAAGGGCATAGGATGGAATGGCTTCTTACTGAGAAGAAGTGAACTTTGCCAATAGCAAATCATTTACCAGAGCCCTCATCAGAACCATATGTAGTACACAAAGAGAAACGTTTTGAGCACCATAACGTCCACTTTCAGACACACATGCTGCTTTCCTAGAGTCAGAACAAATTTTCCAATCACAAATGTGATTGTTTGCATATTGTGATACTTCATGAGTATGTCTGCCTTATTTAGAACCACAAATATGTTGAATAACTAATAATTTCAAAAATAATATAAACTCGATTATAATCAAACTCTAGAAAGTTGGATTTATATCACAAAGTATGCTGTTGTTCATAGTTTGCCTGCAAGCATTTTCACTGCCATTAAATAAGTGGCTCAGTATGGATTTTGCTGTCTCCATGGTGTTACAATGCCAGTGTGCCTTCATAGTAACCGATTACTTTTGTCTACTGTGATGGTTTGAAGAAGAGCGTTCCCCATAGGCCCATATATTAGGATACTTAGTCATCAGGGAGTGGCACTACTTGAGAAGGATTAGGAGGTGTGGCCTGTTGGAGCAGGTGTGACGCTGGGGATGGACTTTAAGGTTTCAAAAGCCCAGCCAGGCCTAGTGGCCTTTTCTCTTCCTGCTGCCTGCAGATCCTCGTGTACAACTTTCAGCTTCTCCAGCACCATGTCTGCCCATGTGCCACCATGCTCCCCACCGTGATGGTAATAGACTCAACCTCTGAACGGTAAGCAAGCCAAATTAAATGTTTTCTTTTTAAGAGTTGCCATGGGAGTGGGGTCCCTTTGCCCCAACAGAACACTAACTAAGACACCTAGTATTGTGATTAGTATTATGAATGCTTTTGTGCTAAGGTATCCTTTAGCCTTTCCCTCTCTGTATAGTCAGTGTCGACAGCTTTGGGAATGTCACTCAGAGACTATGTAGCAGCAGTCTCCACCTCTGTAATGTAAGTATGGAAGCCACAGAAATGACATGGACTATCTTAAATCCCTTATGAATAAATTTGGAGGTGATGACTAGATAAAAAAAAAAACAAACCTCAAAGCACTACATTTTAATCTCTCTGTCCCACTGAGGTTTACCTTGATTATTCCAGTTGAGCCTGTAGATAATTACTGTCCTACAAATGTGGGGGACACCCCACTGGCATGCACCCTACCTTGTTTCCTTTATAAGAAATATTTTAATACAAGGTCTTATTTTGCTCAACAGTTGTTGAACAGATGCAGTTGAAAGTGCTTAACAGAATTAAATTTCACTCAAATCCTTTACCATCATTTAAGAAAAAAATAAGTAAAGTTAGCTGGTCGTCCAGCTATGATGGCACAGAGGCAGGGTCTGAATCCAGGCTGAAGGGACCGGATCAGAATAAAAAGAAAATGCATAGGTACCATCTAACTTAGTACTCTATAATTGAGAAATGATGGTTAGACACTTCATAAAATATAAAGAACTGAAACTCCCGTGTCCACAAGACATTACAAATGAAAATATATATTGAAAATGTTTTCTAGGAATTAAAAAGCATCAAAGAAATGTTTTCAAAGTGCGGTACGCTGATCTTTTAATTTTACATTTCAAAAAATGATTTCAAACCCAGGCGTGGTGGTGCACACTTTTAATTCCAGCTCTCAGAGAGGCAGAAGCAGGTGGATCTCTGAATCCAAGGCCAGCCTGGCCTACAAAGCGAGTCCAACGCTTCATAGAGAAACTCTGCCTCAAAAAACAAAATGATGTCAAGATTCTAAGTAACCCTGATCAAAGTGTTAACCAAAAAAGACTATTGCCAGAAACATGCCTTGAGTCAGTCCAAGCCCAGGGAAGGAAGGCCTCTCGACCATGAGCCTTTTCACCAAGCTCACTACAGAGGCTGCAGGTTGTGCCCAGAACTCACCTTTAAGTTTATTGTGCTCAGAGTCGGCTGGGAAGAGGGAATCTGGAAAGAGTTTGGGGAAGGTGAGTCCCGCGTACTTGGGTCGATTTTCCACGTAGTTTCTGACTGTGGGCTGCAGTTTCTTCATGAATTCTGGACACGGAGTTCCTAGCTGCTCTATGACTTTGTTCCACTGGTCAATATCTGGGAAGGAAATAGTTAAGGGAAAAAGAGGTGCAGACCAGGGACCCGGACCTTTCACTCCCCCCACCCCCAGGGCTAAGTCCCATCTGCACAGAGGCTACTGTACAAACCAACACAGGACCACACAGAGAAATCAAAGTTGACATCTGGGTACCCTCTTGGAATTTCAAGCCAAGTTTTGGAACTTGTGTGCTATTAGAGAACTATTATTCTGTAGCAAAACCAGAAATATGGAGTAGTTCTTGCTTTATAAAAATAAAAGTATTATTCAAATATAACAGAACAGATTAACACCTATATAATCATGTGGTTTGGGGTAAAATATGCAAGAATAAATCACAGAAGATTCTCTCTTGTTCTCAAAGATTAAAAGATTCAAATAAGGTAAGATAGATACCTTACTGAAACAAAATTCTACTACAATCACTAATTTTAGAATAGCAAGCACATAAACACTTTAAATAATTTTTACTTATATTTTTCTAAATAGCCATTACTGTTTTTTGTTGTTGTTGTTGTTGTTGTTGTTCCTTTTCTAAAAAATGGGAAAATTTCATTGGCACTTAATGTTTTCCACTTATAAAGCATCACATTTGGGGTCATCACAGTGGCTTAAATTGGCTGTTCCCTTTTTAGCTGAGAAACAAAGACTGTATATATCTATGGAACACACTGTAAAGTTTTGACATGCATATACCTTTGCAAACTGCTCAAGTTTCCATCTTATCAAACATGTATTATGCATTTGTGACATATTTTTTTTCTGGAAGGCTGTTGGAAACATGTAAGACTTCTATGTCACCCGTAGTCAATCTGTCTGCCATCATCACTGTGTGTGCTCGCTGTATCTGTCAGAGTCACTCTCGACCGTAGCCGCTCTGTCTGCTGCAGTCACTGTCTTTAGTCACTCTGTCTATCACAGCCACTCTGTCCGTCTCCCTGTAACGTAGCAGGGAACAGTTTCCCATCCCCACTCCCTTCCCCTCCCAGCCTCATGTACCTAATTCAGATGTTCTTTTTTTTATTTCTCATTAATATTTGATATGTCATGGCCTTGAGAATGATAAACAATGCAGGCTCTGAAGGATCAGCTAAAAGTAGCTGATTTCAAATAGGCCTGAGCCTTGCAGATCTGCATTTATCCCCACACCCATAAGCAGAGTCTTCTCCTGCCCGCTTTGTTCTTCTGCAGCCCCGTCCTGCACTGTCCGTCCCGTCCTGCCAAAGCAACACAAAGCAGTTCAAAGAGCCTTAACATAATGCCAACCAATTAAGGTTTGTAAAGTCCTTACTCCTAGCTATTCAAGAGTTGAGCCACAAGAGGCTGATTGTCCTGACAAAAGACAAAAGAAGCCATATTTAACATAAATATGAGCTGCAAATTATAGACGGGCGATCAAGCAAAGATAAAAGCAAGTTAGTTTGCGAATTTCTACCTCCCCTATAACCTGGATGAGTAAAACTTAGTTATTATAATAAAAAGGCAAATTTCCATGGACTATTAGGAAATGAAATGCAGGTGGAAAAACTAGAGACGCATTCTCTGACATGACAACAGCAAGAATAAACCAAGTACATACATCAGTGAAACTTCACTGACATCATCTGAGAGTACAGAACTGAACTGGTATTGTTAGAGATAAAGAAATTAAGTCACTATATAAGATAGGTTAGTCACTCTGATGCAAAATCTTTTGTTAACTCTGTAGCTATAGATACAATATAAGTTCCATGTAGATAGATAGATCCAAAGATACAGCGAGCTAGAGAGATGACAGATGATAGATAGATAGATAGATAGATAGATAGATAGATAGATAGATAGATATAGATAGAGGTAGAGAGATAGAGAGATAGATGGTAAATACATAGAGATGACAGATAATAGAGAGATAAATGATAGATATATAGATAGATACATAGAGATAGAGAGAGATAGAGATAACAGATAGTAGATAGATAGATGATATATGGATAGCTGATACATAAAGAAATAGATAGGTGATAGACACATACATATATAGATGCATAGATAGATGGATGAAAGAGACATAGACATATAGACACATGGATGGATGGATAGATTAGATAGATAGATGAGAGACAGAACTCAGCACTTCAAACAATATTCACGACTTAAGCAGAGCTCGGTTGTCTTAAGCTTAGTTGTCACTGCAACCATGAAAAGAGGCCCTCTCTCTAATGCAACTGGATTACCACGCCCACCAAGCTGTCATGTACTCACTACTCAAGCTTGCTCTAGGTTCTAAATGGTAAGAACTGATATCATGTTTAAGAGAGGCAAAGAAGCTTCTAGATTTTCTACAAAGACCCCATTTAAAAAGTCTGGCAAAATATCATCAACCCATTATTTTATTCTAATTGTATTCAGTTTGAGTCATCAACATATTTAATAAAATTCTTCAACATAGAATTAAATGTCTTTTTGTTTGTTTTTCATTTTACAGGATTTTTTTTTTTTTTTTTTTTTTTTGTAGCATCAGATTTGGCCCTGAGCCTCCTGACTTCCTGCCTGCCTCCTCCTGGTAAATGCTGGGATTATAAAATTGGGTGGCCACACCCTACTTTTATGAATGGCTCCCAGTGAAGCAAACCTAAAGCAATTCTATGGTATCTTTTGTAAAACTCTAAGGACAGTAGCATATTGTGGAATCTGAAGCACAATGCGAGTTTCTAAAAGCAAAAGCCCTTTCCTACCTGAGCATGCTTTTAAATGAATCATCATTCTGGACTCTAGAGACATTTGAACAAGTAAAACTAATGTCAGTGAGGTTGCTAAGCATTCTTGTAGCAAATACTGCGTACAGCCCTCTTTAAGAGACTATTCAAGTCCTTTCTTCCTATAAGTGTCTGCATGTCTAGGGAATAAGGATTTGTTTCCCTTCTGTTCTGTCAGTGTTTGAGAAGAAAACAACCAATCTGCAGCTGGGGTGGTAGAAGGACTTGCCTTGCTTTAGTCTAAAGTTCATGATGCGATTTTCCCTTAGAGAACAATGTGCCTGTGTCTTTCAGGTCAACGCATCTCCACTAAAAATCATTGTCATACATACTTTAAAGATCAAATAAGGTGAGACTAAAGAAAAACAGTCAGATTTTTCACCATGATTTGTACCTTCAAACATGTAAGAATTTACTGGTGTTTGCTAGATGCTGACATTATATAATGCATCCTTCAAAAATGAATTGCTGAAGTTATTTTATGAAGGCAGTTAATACAGTTAGAGCATTTTCATGCTGTGTAGAACAAAGAAGTGAATACTATAGATTAGTTCTACACATTCTAAAAATACTCATAAATATATGTACTTTTACATTTCAGATTTATGATTTCAGAAAGTGTCACCCTGAGATAAATTATCAAAGGCCTTGAATACTAATGGGAAGATGACACTTAATAAAAATTATGGCAGCAAATTTCCTCATCTAATTCTTAGTTCACTGAAAATTAAATAGAGTGGCATTGCGAATCTCTTGCTCTTGGAAGTAGATGAGATAATTTGCAAAGATTGATCATTACTAAGGACTTCCATGAGTGTTACCATCCTAGGAGAGCAGAGCACAGGACAGGTAGGAAGGGTAAGCTGCTGGAGCCACAGACCGTAAGCTTTTCTGTTTGGATAAGAACTCAGACCTAAGCACTACTCTTGTCTTTAGGGTCTCTGATTGGAGAACCTTCACAGACATTTTCTCTGATGAATGTACTGATGGAAAACACTGTTTGTTCCTGGATACCTGGGGTGTAATCGTGAATAAAATTTATGCTCTGATGTTTCAACTTTCAGAGCACTCTAGGAATTGCATCCTGCCACGCAGTTCGAATTACTGTTTCGTTTTGCTTCTTGTTCGGTGTGGAAATGTCACAGCCTCCATCTGCAACTTCAGGAGTATCATCAACATTCCCTTCTCAATTCTTGGCTCGGTCCCTAAAGATGGCTTTGCTGCCTGCAATATCTATACTGAATGATTCCGGAAGATGCCATTTTATCTCCAACTAGCCGCTATGTAGGCAGTGTTGAGTATAGCTCTTTTTCTTTATTTTAGCTCTGTAGGAAAGAATGCAAATTGGTTTGCAAGGAGAGTAAAATTAGGACACAGAGCACATGGTCTGTGTACTCCGTATCATGGTGTAAAATCATGTACACAAACTCAAATATTCACAATGTAGAAAACTTATAAAACACAGGCCTCCCTCCCTACCACTTCCACATGTACCACCTAACTGTAGTATTCTAGATACTGAGGTCTGCAGTGGTTGTCATGGAAAAACACCAATGATAATTGCTACCCAGGCCATCCCTGGGCTGCATTTTGACAAATACTGATCTAGACTATGCCAACAGGCTCCAGCAAATCACTAAACCCAGATGTAAGAAGGCTTCCTGCGCTTCCATTCTGATGGCACAGGACATAACAGGTTCAGATTCTTGAAAAGATCTCTCTACACCTCGTGGCCACAGCACACTTATGCCTTTGGAAACTCAGAAATGTTATGTAAGTATGTTCTTGTTTTCATCCAAGTGTGGGATTTTAGTCAGGCTAAAGTTTGTCCACACCTGTTAATTGTCTCATGTGGGGTGTAGATTTTGGCCTTTCACATGCTGAGACATGGGGAGGGTCTTGGTCTAGGACTCTGAGAGTGTTAATGTGAGAGCCAAGAAAGAAAGGTGGTGGCGTGTGGTGTTGGCATGTAGCAGTGTGGAGACTGTGTGGCTGTTTGTAGCAGACAGATGGAGAGACCCCTTTGGAGCACAGCGGCCTGGAGGAGACAGCTAGCTGCGTATGCAATTGATGGAGATTGGTATAAAGCCCTGAATGACCCCCTTGACCCTAAACAGCCAGGAGAAGTAAAGGGACCCTCTCTCCCCACTAACCTTCTCTCTTTCTTACTTAGGGTCTGGAGATTGGAAAAGAGACTGAGGCCTAAACACCCCAAATTAGGAAGGGTTTTAAAAATAAGCACGACATACTTAACTGGCCAG